TAGTTGCTGAGCTTGTTGACTTTGCTGCCGCCTGTCGCCTAGACTACGCCACTAGTCTTTTTGCTTAGTTTGAGTCTGTCTGTCCTCCGTCCATCAGCGGTGAGTGTGCTCTTGGCACGAACGTCCTTGAGGACAGGCACCAGGACGTTGAGTGTCTTGCGGCTACTGTACCTCATCTTGTGCCCATGCTGATTGCACATGAGGGAGACCCGTATGCACCAGACAGCCCGACCCCGCGCTCTTAGGCAGAGGCAATAGAGGGTCCCTACTCCTCTCAGTGGCAGTCAGCCATGGACGCAGAGATGGCATCCTGGAAGTCCACAGGCACTTGCGTCGACGCAGTTCCCCCTCCTGGGGCATACATAGTCGATGGCATGTGGAATTTCAGGGTGAAGTGGCCGCCGGGTTCTCCGCCTGCCTTCAAGGCTCGTTACGTGGCTAGAGGCTTCAGTCAGCGACAGGGAGTTGACTTCTTCCAGACCTTCTTTCCTACAATGAAGATGACTACTCTTCGGGTACTGCTGCACGTCGCCGCTCAGCGTGACTACGAGCCTTCACTCTCTTGACTTCAGCACAGCTTTCTTACACGGCAGCATGCACAAGGACATCTGGTTGCGCCGCCCACCTGGCTTCATTGGGTCATTTCCTGCAGGTACCCAGTGGAGTCTCCGGCGGCCAGTCTACGGTCTACGCCAGGCGCCTCGCAAGTGGCACGACACACTGAGGAAGACACTTGCGGCTCTTGTGTTTGCTCCTTCGACTGCTGACCCGTCGCTCTTTCTGTGCACTGACACTTCACTACCGCCGTTCTACATCCTCGTGTACGTCGACAACTTGGTCTTTGCCATTGCTAACACTGAGGGACTGGCCCTAGTGAAGTCGGGGCTGCAGAAGAGACACACGTGCACAGACCTGGGTGAGCTGCGCAGCTATCTTGGCTTGCAGATCACCCGGGACAGAGCACGGCGCACCATTACCTTGACTCAGTCACACATGGTGCAGCAGGTCCTTCAGCGCTTCGACTTCCAGTACTCCTCGCCACAGTCCACTCCTCTGCCTACCGGTCATTCGCTCTCAGCTCCACCTTCGGACGAGTCAGCCTTGTGACCATCAGCGTTTCTGTACTATTTTAGGCCTTGTGTCTACTTGGCCTCACTTGCTCACTTCTTGACTTTGCTTGTACTGTGATCTATATGCTTATACCTGCATGCTTACACTTGCTAGGTTCTGATCACTGTATCGCTTGTTCTCCATTATATAACTTGGCATGTGGACTGGCCTTGTGGCGATTTGCTTGTGCTCAGAGTGTGTGGTGACGTCGTGATCCACCCTGAGCTTGCTTTGCTTTTCTTGACTGGTCGTGTGACCTCTTGTTCTCCCCCACTTTACCTATGGGGGTGTGTCAAACTTATATGCTGTATGTTGTGTAGGCTGTAGTGGGGTAGCCCATATGGGGTACAACCCAACTTTAGGGTTAGTACTTGTACCCACCCTGCTGCTAGTTCATTCGTTCTTGCCTATACTTTCTAACAGTGGTCACACGAGATCATGAAACAATTGCATCCAGAGGTGAAGTGGGCCGGCTCTTAACGGTGGACTGGGCGCTTTCTGCGACAGTGGAACCTCACCATAAAAGCTTAGACCAGGGTCGGCCAGAAACTCTCATCTGGTGAGCTTTTTGTGACTGCTGAATTTATATCTATGGCTGCTTGAATGTTCGTGGTCGATTTTTATCTGTTGATTTAGAAGCTTGTTTGTTTAATCGTGTGTATCTATTTCCCTCTGTCCTATGTATCCTTTGGGATCGTGAAGCCGTATGTCTATCTGAAATTCAGAGTCTGAAGCAGGAGGGCGATACTTGTCCTCGACTCGTACCGCAGACATCTGACTGCAGAGGTGAAGCAGAAGTTTGGCGAGCTGAAGATCGTCCCCACAGTTATTTCCAAAGGTCTCACCTCGGAGATTCAATTGCTAGACGTCTCTGTAAACCGTTCTTTCAAGGCAGCGGTTAGACGGATATAGCAGGAGTGGTTCGAGAGCGAGGGGGTCGACACCATGACCAAAAATGGTGAGGCAATCCCCCTCAACTGTGATGTTTGTGTGAGCGCTTACCATTCTTCCTGTTCTGACTTGACTTGTTTTTTCGCGTTGTGGTTTTTATTGTGGGCAGTATCAAGAAGCTACCACTCTAGCTGTCGCTAAAGTGTATCGCCAAGACCTGGAAGGGCGTGCCCCAGACCTTGATCAAGCGCGCCTTTCTTACCTGTGGCATCAGCAGCGCCCTCAATGGGTCCTAGAACAACCTTTGCCTGCAGCAGAGGCGGGAATTTGTGAAGGGTGAAGTTGATCTTACTGATGACATTGTAGCAGATGGATTCTGCTGCAACAACGTAGAGGAGCCAGAGTCGGATGGTGAGGCAGACCTAGATGACCCCACACCATTGGGGACGATGTGTAGCTTATGATTCCTATAAAAATAGACACTTGATATTTGTAACCGTAATATCTGTCAGAGGTCCACTGGTGATCCCCGATTGATCATAGGGAAGGGTTACAGGCATGTTGGCCTAGGGGATTATGGGCGCACTGACCCGCTATTGAACAAGCCCTTTTATCCCAATGGTCTAGTGGTTGGGATTCTGATATGGTATCAGAGCGAAGGTCTCGGGTTCGAATCCCAGTGTGTGCACTTCGGGCATCCCAGTGCGGGGGGGTGTCAGAGGTCCACTGGTGATCCCCGATTGATCCTAGGGAAGGGTTACAGGCATGTTGGCCTGGGGGGTTATGGGCGCACTGACCCGCTACTTAACAAGCCCTTTTATCCCAATGGTCTAGTGGTTGGGATTCTGACAATACCATAAAAAAGATGTGCTCTAAACCCTAAGAGAATGAGGTGGCGCTTATAATCCATAAGCCATTGGGGATGCGCTTATAATCGAAAACGGTATTCTAGCGCCATATGTTCTTTATAACCGTCGACGCTTATCATATACATGCATATATATACGGGGTGAGACGGTACAATGAGCGAAGGCATGAGCGATTTGTTGAATAATGAAAGTACCATATGGTAACGATAACAAGCGATTCGCAATAATTGCCCTTCGGGGCTAGTGCCAAGGACTGGGAAATGTCGAGGCGTAGGGCCGGGCCGCGGGTTACTAGCTGTGATTTATGGTCCGGGCGCGACAGTGGTGGTTGCGGAGAGTCACTCTGCACCGGGAGATGGACTACGGGGGAAGGCACGGGTGGTACGAGCGATAGTAGCTTGCATTAGCGTTCTCTAGCACTTGTGTATTCGCACCATGAATTGGCAAGGGTTCTTTAGAAAAGTTGGAAATACAGATTGCAGAATGATAGAAATAGCAATGACAAAGTGACTACATCTTGGACTTAGCAGCCTAGCGAGCAGGCAGGTCGACCTCCAGCGCAGCAACGGGGCGGCCTGCCAGCATCGCAGAAAGGCGCCGTGCCAGCTTTGTATAAAGGCGGCCTGTTAGCAGAGCAAGTCTGAAACTCTGCGAGTCGACGATCTTCCAGCGCTGCATCTGCGCGACTTGCCAACGCTGTACCAGAGCGGCTGGCCAGCGTTGCAACTGTAGATGACTATGGCGCACACGCGCACCCGCTTCGCGGGTGCTTGTTGGCAGTCGAGCGCGTTGTGCCTCGTCCCGCCCGTTGCATAGATGTCGAGTCGGCCACGTGCTGATGAACGGGCCAGGTACTCCACGTCGACCTTGGGATACCAGCCCGCAGGTCGACTTCGCCAAAGCTCGCAGAAGCGAAACTCGCGCTTTTGTCAGGTTCGCACCTGAGTATCCTTCCTCGACTAGTTCTATGCTGCTTCGTTGAGGAGCGCCTCTCGACGGGCTCTTAGACCAAGCCCCGTCGAGTAGAGCTTGCTCGGCCACTACTACCGTCGACCATGTAGCTCCAAAGTCGACGTCGCCCTGGCGGGCGGTAGAAGACCGCCAATTGGTGTACTTGGTCGTCAATCGCCCTAGTCGACACCGTCCGCTGACTTTCTCGCGTCGGCGTTCCACTTGTCGACAAACTTCTTCGGCTGCCGATCTCCTTCGTCGGTGGCTTTGCAGCAGTCGACCAACTTCGTCGACCTGCTCGCCAGACTTTGCGTCGACTTATGCGGCCAGTCGGTGCACCTCCCGCGCACTCGACTGTGGAGTCGGCTTCGCCCAAACGAGGGCCGGGCCATTTCCCGTCAACAATAGTGGCGGGAACAGTGTCAAAGCGAATGTCGTGAGGTAGTAACAGGACACTGTCTTGATGAAAATGGCGGGAATAGTGTTGTACGGGAAGTTTAATTCCTTACAAGAAGGGATCTGTAAACTTTCCTTAGAGATTGTTATTTTGAGCTTACCTAATACCATAACAGAGTGTACGCGGTATGTGAGGTGACGCGAAGTAATGAAAAGTTGCTCTCTACGGACTAGCCGGCGCGGAAGTTTCTTCAACAATTCGTGACCATTCCTCTCATACCGACGCCATACCTCTCCCATCGGTATGTGCGAGTGATAGCTAGGGAATGCCTTGCTGCTCACTCGTGCTTAGTACGTGGTGCAGAACGCCTTGGCACGGCACGGGCTGGTTCGGGACGGCTCAGAACCACTCAGCACTGCTTAATTCCGATTTTCACCACGGCTCACCACAGCTCTACTGCGTCCAGTGCGTGCCAGGGCACGTGCTGGCACGCACCAAAGCCGCGGTGCAAATTGGTGACATTCGGTGGTGAGTGGTTGAGAGCCTGCCCGACCGTGCCGTGCCGTGCCGAGGCTTTCTGGGGCCCAGCTGGAGCAAAGGTCGAGCCTAATAATCCCGTGGAATCAAATCAACCCTCATAATAAGCCTTCACAGGTGCGCCTTCACAAAAGCCTATCCAAACTGAGGCGGAAACGGCGGGCACGGTTTCAAAATGCAAACAACATTCAGTGGAGCGCCGCGTCGCGGCAACCTCGGGCCTCAGTGGGACGCCCGCGCTCACCATGCGCGCTCTCCGCGCTGTCGGTTCCTCTCGGCGCTGCTACCACTCGCACTCACGCTATTCGTCCTTCCACGGACAATCAGTGTTGCGCCTACACGAATCGCTAGTACCGCACAAGACTCCGTCGTAGCCAGCTCCACCGCTCTGAACCGCGCTATCCAGTCGCTGCGTTGGGCTCCGCAGGTTGTTGAAAGCTCGCGATCGCGTCTTCAGTGGGTGCGGCGAACGGTCGGAGCGCTCGTCCAGCAGTCCAGGTGAGCGGCGGAAGCGGCCTGTGCAGCGATGGGGCCCGCGCGCGCCGGTGGTGCGCAGACAAACTGCGGTTCCGCGCCGCCACCGGGGCGGCGACTCTGAAGCGCGGCGAGTGGTGCTGCCCCCGCCATGGTCTTGTGGCGTGGGCGCAGCACGCATCATGGTCGTCATGACGCCTGGTTTGAGTCAACGCACCCATGCCTCACCGTGCTCCTCTTACCCTCCCTCCCCCCATCTTCCTCCCTCCCCCCATCTTCCTCCCTCCCCCCATCTTCCTCCCTCTCCCCCTCTCCGCTCGTCGCTGCGGAGCCGGTCACATGCGCTCCGCACTGTCACTCCCTTTCTCCCTTCTCCTAACCCACCTCCTCCTTTTCCCAGAAACCTTTCTCCTCTGACCGCGCCATTTCCCTCCCGCCCTTCTCCTCCCTTCCACTGCCCCTTTCCCTCGCCCCACGCCGTCGCTGCGGCACAGCAGGCAGGCGGAGCAGCGGGCGTGCGAGGAGGAGCTGGCGGGGTTGCGGCAGTGGTACCACAGCGGCCATGGCGCAGGTGATAGCTACATGGGCGTGCATTTACAAGCGCTGTTGCGAGGCCGTTGGAAGAGTGTGTGCAATGCGGGTGATGGAGGGCGAATGAGCTCTGTTGCAGCATGACGCAGTCGCGTTCCATATGCACGCCACCAAGCCACCGCGCTTGTGGTGCCATACACACCCTCTTGAACCGATCAGAATCTTGGTGGGATTTTCTCCCTTTTCTTCCACCTCCTTCCCGTTCCCTTGGTGTCCGTGTGGTGCGCTATCCCACTGTGTCATCAACAACGCCACTTCGTCCCTCCCTCTGATAGCCAACCACTGTTTGCACTGCCTTCCGTTTGCCCTTCCCTCTCTCTGTCTCTTCCCGCACGTCCATGCATTGCTCTCCTCCACACCACGCCTTGCCTCGCCTCGCCATGCCATGCCATACCATACCATGGCATGGCGTACAACACCATGCCACGCACGCCACAATGACAGTGGTTGAAGGTACCAGTGGAGCAGCAGGGGGAGCAGCCATGCAAGCAGCCATGCGGACTGGCGGGTCCCTGGCAGGGCCAGCAGCAGGCGCAAGGCAGGCCGAGAGCCAAGGGGAGGGGCGAAAAGAGTGGAGGAAGGAGGTGTGGAGAGGGGAGGGTGGCGAGCGCAGGAGGCTGGTGGCATACGAGTCGTGGCGGCACAAGCTCAAGGACCAGATCACCCAGCTTGACGCCATGTGGGCCTCTGTGGAGCGCAAACGGGTGAGCACTCCAACGGTGTCTGGGCCGAATTTACCTTTGACGGATTGGGTGGTGTGTGCGACTGTGACGAAAGTGCTCTCTACAGAATCTGTATAGCAGGAGCTTGTGTTGAGAATAAAGGGCAAGTCAAGTGATGGGCGTACGAGTGGGCGTCATTGTTGTCTGGCCACTCCTCATGCGGTATTCACTGAATGTTTCAGCCAACCATGGTTGTTTGGTTCTGGGAAAGAAAAGGGAAAGAAAAATAGCAAAATCAGGTCACCATTGAGTTTTTTTTCTCCTTTGACATGTGCCACAGCTTCACTTAGCAACAAGAAAAAATAGCAGAAGAAGAAGAGAAGCGGAAAAACGTCCACTTTTCAGTGGCTCCCAATGAAGGCGGCCAAGCAAAACGTACATTCACCGCTTTTTCTCCCCTCTGCTCGCATGCGTGCATGTGGTACGGCAGAAGGAGCTGCGGCGGGTGAACAGCGTGAAGATGCAGCTGGACGGGCAGCTGGACGCGAGTGCCATCGACTGGGACGCCCGCCTGCTGCCCCCGTCCGTGCGTGCCGTGCCGTGCTCCCTGCATGCGGGCCGAGTGAGGCTGAGAGTTGGAGTGAGGGTGCGATTGTGCGTGCGAGTAACCGAGAGTGAGAGTGAGGTGGGAGGTGGGGGGACAAGGCATGCACAATAGGAGTGATTTGATGAGGCCAAATGAAGCACGAGATTGCCTGCAGAGCTGGGGCTGGTGGGCTGCTTGCAGAATCATTAGCACAGCCGGACACACGGACATATGGCAGATAGGGGCTGAGAGATGGGCGGATGGATGGACACTCAGAGAGACTGAAGGGGCATGCATGGTTACAGGCATGTACAGTGTGGGAGCAGGGTGAGGTACGGGCATGCACGGTACTTGAATCAATTGCCATCAATGAGCGTCCTCCAAAATTCTGAGTGCTTGCTGTGTGCAGCCTCCAGAGAAAAAGAGCAAGCTAAAGGAGGGAAAGGGTCGGTTGGGGTGGAGAGTGGCCAGTGGTGTTGGCACAACTCTGACGTGCGGACAAGAGGAGAGAGAAGAGAACGATCGGTTGTGCCAGAGACTGGAATGGGATGAGCCTCAGTGCTGTCACGTGTGTGGGTGGCGTGTGTGGGTGGCGTGTGTGGGTGGCGTGTGTGGGTGGCGTGTGTGGGTGGCGTGTGTGAGTGGCGTGTGTGAGTGGCGTGTGGGTGGAGTGTGTGTGTGGCGTGTGTGAGTGGAGTGTGTGTGGGCTGTGCGGGTGCAGGCGATGGACAAGGCGCGTGAGGTGGTGGCGTGGTGTGATGGCGATGGCATGGTGGTGTCCTCGCCCGTGCCCACATGGAAGGTGCGTACCTCGCATCGCTCTCACTGCTGTCACACAGCTGTCGTGGCACTTGGATTGCACTGCATAGGATGGGATGGGATGGGATGGCGTGGCATGGCGTAGGCATGGCGTGGCATGGGATGACACAGTACAGGATGGCATGGCATGGAAATGGTTACTTGTCCCAGTGTGCTTCACGTGCTGCCATGGCAAGGTGTGCTGCCATGGCAAGGTGTGCTGCCATGGCAAGGTGTGCTGCCATGGCAAGGTGTGCTGCCATGGTAAGGTGTGCTGCCATGGCAAGGTGTGCTGCCATGGCAAGGTGTGCTGCCATGGTAAGGTGTGCTGCCATGGCAAGGTGTGCTGCCATGGCAAGGTGTGCTGCCATGGCAAGGTGTGCTGCCATGGCAAGGTGTGCTGCCATGGCAAGGTGTGCTGCCATGGCAAGGTGTGCTGCCATGGTAAGGCACGCTTCCCACTTCCTCACATCCCCATTCTTCGCACAGTATTCTTACCTCCGCTCCACCCTTCCTCAATTGGCCTTTCCCCTTCCATCCGCCCTTTCCCGCCTCTACTTCCGCCTAACTTCCACTCCTCACCCTTCAAGCATTTTCTGCTTTGAGTCAACTCGGATTCTGCCCCGCCCTTCTCTCCTCTGCAATGTGTCGCCTGCCGCGTTGCCATGTGTGAGAGTGCACGGCGGAGGTGCGCCACACCGCGCAGAGCGCATGTCCACATTCCGTCCCGCTTTCCGCTCATCCATCCATACTCTCTTTCTACCCTTTTCCTAGCACTCGTTCCCCCTCCCTTCCCTCATGTGCGCCCCACCTCTCACACCCTCCTCCCCCGTTTCCCGTACCACCCTCCACTCCCTGGGGAGAAAGAGGACAAGCTGCTGGGTAATTCGGACGGGGAAGGGGGACAGGGTGGGGGGAAAGGGATGGGGGAAAGAGGGTGGGGTGGGGGAGACTAGGAGCCGAGAGGAGTTCGTCGCATGTGTCCTCATGGCCGACTCGATTCTCTATCTGGGCTAGAATGCATGTCATGTCACTCCCTTCCCATGTCCTAACACTCGTCCCCCTTTTCCTCCCTCCTCGTCTCCCCCCTCCCCTTGGCGCCTCGCAGGCGTATGCATGCAACGCGTCGGAGGAGGAGATGCGGCGCTATCTGGACTTTGAGCCGCAGCAGCTGTGCCCCGACGACTGGTTCCACACGCAGGACCTGCTCTTCGCCAACAACTGCTTCGCTCTGCCCACGCGCCGCTGCCTCACCCGCACCTCACAGCAGCTCGTGGAGGCGAGTCAAGGGAGGGGGGAAAGGGAGGGTGCGGGGGGGGGAAGGGGGGCGGGGTTGGAATGAAGGAGGGAGTGAGGGTGGCAGGGAGGGAAGCGAATCGGATAATGGGAAGGTGGGAAGCGGCACGGGAGAGTTGAGAGAAAGGGGAGGGGGCGGAGAATGGGGGGTAAGGAGTGGAAGGACGGAAATTGAGAAGGGTGTATGCTAATGTGCATGAGCATTTTCTAGAAAATCTTGACTCAGTTCTCCATTCCACATCCCACATCTCTCATTTCTCATACCTCTCTTGCTCCTCCTCGCCCTTTCCATTCCCCACTCTCTACCAACCCCCCACCATAGTCCTAAACATTTCCACAAACCTCTTCCAATCCCTTCCCATCTGCGGAGAGTCACTATACACTGGGAGCTGGACTACGCGGGGCACGGGTGGTACGCGTGATCGTAGTGTTTGCTCGTGTTCTTTCTACTTGCGCATTCACGGAGAAACTTGGCAAGATTTGTACTAGCGAAGGGATTACACAATGATATAATAGCAATGGCAACAAGGGACGACATTAGTGCCCAGCAGCTTAGCACACAGGCAGGTCGACCTCCAGCGCAGCGCGAGGGCGGCTTGCCAGCACTGCAAGTCGACACTCTGCCAACACAGCTGGGAGGCGTCTTGCCAGCGTTGCAAGTCGGCGGCCTGCCAGCGTCGCACCAGGACAGCTTGCCAACGCTACAGCAAGGCGGCTTGCCAGCGTCGCAACCGCATGTGATTGTAAGCGCATGTGCGACGGTCGCGCACGTTGTGCAGGTGCCAAGTTGGTTACGTGCCGACGGTTGCGTCAGATGTGCCATGTCAACCTCGTGATACCAGCCCGCAGGTCCACTTCGCCAAATCTTCCTGGGCAACGTCCGCGAACCCTCGCAGAACTTCGTTGACCAGGTAATTCCCCGGCGCCCGGTTGACGAACACCTTCGTCGGCGGCTTGACAGTAGTGCCGCGGAAGTCGACCAAGTTTGTCGACATCCTCTCCCAAGTCGGCGTCGACCACTGACAGCAGCCGGCTGCAGCTCCCGCTCACCCAACTATGAAGTCGGCTACGCCCAAGCGAGGGCGGGTCATTTCCAGTCAACACCATCCCTCCTCCCACAACCCACACGTCCCCCTCTCCCTCCTCCCCACCCCCTCCCCTCTCCCCCTCGGCAGCCCACGCCATTCCCGGAGTCGCTCTTCAGCCAGGGCGCACTCAAGGACGGGGCAGTGCGGTGGGCGCTGCACCACTGCAAGTCCTTCGCCTGCCTCAATGCACGTCTCATCGGCGACTGCCGCCTGTGCTACAACATGACCATCGAGCGCAACCGCTGGCACCGCCACTTCCGCGGCTCGCTGTCCATCAAGGAGGTCGTCAACATGATGAACGGGACCCTCAGGTGGGCGTGATGAAGGGGTCGCTCAGGTGGGCGTGATGCGTGGTGCTGTGATGATGTTCCTCTGCACCAGCCAGCAGGACCTCATGCCCTCTGCAGATCTTTGCATTGCTCACCCTTGCCTTTCTTCCGCACACCCACAGCAACATAACCACCCGTTCCCTCCCACCACACACACCCCGCTCGCACCACCACCGCTCGCACCACCACCGCTCGCACCACCTCCGCTCGCACCACCACCGTGCGTACCAACACTGTGCGTACCACTACCGCATCACAAGCAGGATCGGGCTGGACGCGGGCGGCGGCACGGGCAGCTTTGCGGCGCACATGGCGCGGTACAACGTGACGGTGATGACCACCGCCATGAACATCGAGACCGTCACCGGCCGCCGCCAGGGCCTGCCGTACATGGAGACCATCGCCCTGCGCGGCCTCATCCCGCTGCACGTCCCCCACAAGATGGCCCCGGGGGTGGCAGGGTGTGTGGGGTGTGCGCTGAGTGCGGGTGTACGGTAGGGGATGCGGGATGTGAGGTGGGGGATGCGGGGTGTGAGGTGGGAGGTGCGGGGTGTGAGGTGGGGGGTGCGGGTTGTTGTGAGGTGTGCGGTGATGGGTATCGCATGGGTGGTGGGGGTTATGGGGTGTACGGAGTAGGGTGAGGGGTGAAGGGTAGTAGGGAGTTGGGAGTAGAGTGCTGGGCAAATAGGTGGGCTGTAAGTTCAGGTGTAGATTTCTGCTGTAGAGCATTAAAATGCTTCTTGAACTATTGTTAAGACTCCACCATTGTAGTCCTCATATCCCTTCAATCAATCTCCAATGCGCATTCGCTTCTCCTCCACTCACCTTCTCATCTTCCCTTCGTCCGTTCCCCCATCTTTTCCCCATCGCCCCTCCCTCTCGCTGTTCCCTCCCCCCTGACCAACCCCTACAGCGACGGCTGCCGTTTATGGACGGCACGTTGGACATGGTGCACTGTGTGAACAGCATTAAGTACCTGCCCATCCAGGAGTTTGAGGAGCTGCTCTACGATTGGGACCGCGTGCTCCGAGTCGGTGCGTGCTCCCTGCCCTGCTCCCTGCTGCCCCTGCTTTCGCTCGTGTCACGCACTCGAAGGTTGCTGCATTGTGCTTGCTGCACGTGCATATCTTCCCCTGTCCTTACTCTGCTACCTTATCTCTCACCCACCATCTGCACTAGCCCTGCTTCCCTGCCATACACCTTGCCTGCCATTCTCCTTGCCTGCCATACACCTTGCCTGCCATACACCTTGCCTGCCATCACACCTTGCCTGCCATCACACCTTGCCTGCCATCACACCTCTTGTCTCCGCATATTTCCATCCCTGCGTTCTCATTATAGCACGTGCCATGGGCTCCCACCCCACAGCAGCACTGCGTACTCGGCATGAGCCACAGGAGGCCGAGGGACAGCTAGTGATGGGCCGATTTCACAGCGGCCCGGATCTCAAAGCAGCCCCGCCACGGCTTGTCGAAACGAGACAGGTTGGGCCCGGCTAGTGGTGGGGCTAATGTACCCAGTCGCGGCCTTGGCCCGGCACGACCGACTTTCAGTACTCTCACAACTTTTGCGTGCTGTATTCGTACAGATGTAATCAAATGCATCTGCCTCCGACGGTCCAAGACACATCTTATCACGGACCATCAACTCAAGCCAGATTGCTTTTCAGACTGGCACAAACCGTACCGAAAATCTGAAGAGGCCGGCCTAGCTCGTCCTCAAGACCGGCTGTCCCAGGTCGGGGCGCTATGGACCAGCCCTGCGCCTCATCCCTACCTCACATCACACTGCCCCTAACTCATCGCCACCACTCTTCCAACACGCTGCATCCACCTCACTCATCCTAACCCTCCCATCCCTTCCATGCCACCGGCCCCTCCCATTCCCCCCGCACATGTGTGCATGTGCCTGGCAAGAGGGGTGCTGTGGTTTGAGATGTTCTACGCGCCGATGGACGAGATGCCCGTGTACGCAGCGCTGATCAGGGCGCTGGGGTACAAGCGCCTGTACTACCACGTGCAGCCCAAGCCCGACCTGGGGGAGCGCGTCGGCGCTCACATGTACCTCAACTACCTGCTCCAGAAGCCCCTGCACCCCGACCCTCCCACCAGGACGGGCTGGTTGTTCTAGGTCAAGGGTTTCCGCTGTTCCAATGAGGCGTCTGCCTGCTGGCTGTGAAGTGCGCGCTGTTGGCAGCCCGCTGTGAAAGTGTACGACATTAGCTGCCTGCTCCGGAAGCCCGTTCGCTTGGACCCTTTGAAGATATGGGCTGGAGAGCAGGACCCATCTCATGCATTAGGCATGCAAGCAAGCCTCGCAATAAACATGTTAGCTTAGCAACCCTAACGGCACATTTTGGCCCGGACATGTCCATTGAGAAAGCGACACAAACGTTTGTGATGCGTATATCCCGCATATGTTGCCTAGTGTCAGAATCCTAGCAAGGGCCTTGGTGGCAGGGCAATATTGGATTCCCTCTGTCAGGTGCTGATATAATCAAAGGATCTAGTGGATAGGATAGGATCTGTTAAGTCTGAGAGGAGACAATGAAGTCTCTGTAGTGACCTTGTTGAATAATAATTGAAAGAGAACAAGATGATTAAAAGATAGGAGTACAAGAGATTAAATAGAAATCTAGCTAGCCATGTACTCTGAGGGGTACATTCCCTTATTAACTGTATTGCATAGCTACAGTAACCGCGACTATTGCTATTCTCGACAGTTACCATGTTGCAGTGAATTAACTGTCGCGCGGTTACTGGATTGTCAAGGGTCACGACCGTTGACTTCCTCAGACGGTTGACCTTCGGGTGACCCTCGACATTCCGCATGCTCTATATGAGCTATTGCGGTACTGGTACAGTGGAACAGTTTCGGGAATGCTTTATATAACCTTTCGGTTATTCCAACACTCCCCTTCATTCCTGAAGGTGTTCCACGTGGGATTTCTTGGTGATCCCGCAGAGGTCGGCGCAGCATTGGTACTGCTGACGTGGCAGCTTCTTCGTCAAGAAATCAGCTGCCATGTCACCGGTCGGGCAGTACCAGGGCCCTCGCTAGTCTCTGAACCCCCCTGAGGCGTCAGACGGGCCCTTCGGGCCCGTCTGACTGGTCAGAAAATTTTCACGCCCCTGTCTTTCGCATCAGAAATTCTAACATTACTTGGCTTAAAAATCAGATTTTGTAACCCGTCCCTACTGTAACTACAACTACTACTCAACTATTCTCTACAAAGAAAACATATCAAGAATAACTATCTAGCTATCTGAGTCAGAGTCAGATGCCTCATTGTCACTCAGTGTAACAGTTGCACGCACATCCACTCCTTCATCCTCACTGTCGCTATCTACTATGTGAGTTTTGGCTTTCTTCCTCTTGGCTTCTCCGTCGTCATTGGACGGCGCTTTCTGAGCTGTCGTGTTAGGTGCTAGATCCTCCCTGTCTCCCTGCCTCCCTGCCGCTTCCGTCTCTGCCTCCCTGCGCTTCGCAGTTGCCACTCCACTGACTTCTTTGGCAGGGCGCCTCTTCTTTGCCCCGCGCCACAGCTTCACCACGTTGTCCCAGTCTGGTTCGTAGTCAAGCAGGGAGATGCACATGAGGTCGGAGAGTCGCGCATTGCAGAGGTTGTTCCTGAGCCACGACTTGATTACGTTTTGGCGACTGAACCCTCGCTCGCACTCCACAGTGCTGAGCGGAAGAACAGCCACTGCCACCCAAAGTCGAACCAGATTGGGGAAAGAAGACTCCCAATCCCCGCTCCTGAGCATGTTCTTAAGTGCCACATGGAAGGATTGATCCTTGTACTGTGACACCATCACGCGGGTGAAACGTGGAAGCTCCCGCTCGGCCTTCTTCCAGTTGACTCCTGCAAGCACACAGCACATCTAGTTAGCATCCCACTATGTAGACGGATCGTTACACAAACAAGGGATTAGGGACAACGCGGAATTTGAAAACACGTACCTGGCAGAGCGCACTGCTCGGCGTTGAACATCTTGCGAAGGGAGCTGAACCACTCCGCGCACAGACGGTCGCGCTTGTTCACGCCATCCGGATAGGCGTCTGGCAGAAATAGCTTGGACCCAACGAAGGACTTCAAGCTTCGCATGCGGTACTGTAGCCTGCCGATCACCTCCTTCGCAAACAGGGTGGCGAGGGACACGCAGGACTCGACGTCACCCGAGGGATCCTCTTTCTTCTTCGCATCCAGCTCGTGCAGCTTGAAGGTGTGTTTGACGGCGTTGCCGTCTCCATCCATCCCCTCCACCTGGACCACCCGCTTGGACGGATGGGAGTGCGCTTCGAGGAAGGCAGTGAGGTGCTCGCTGTCCTCCGCGAAGTTCACCCCGTACTCCACATAGCGCGCGTTCAACTTCTCGCAGGTGTTTTGCACCTGCCCCATGACACGGGTGATGTCCACTTGCGACATCACGCACAAACACAATGTTAATCACTGACATTCGGGACTAGAGCGAATTTCAAAATCGGCGACCGTTAATTACACGCTCACCGATCGTCGCTGAAACCGCTTGTTGAGCTCGTTCAATTCCTTCAGGACATCAGCGAGAAAAAAAAGAAAGAAATGAAATTTGAGGCTCGTAACCAGGTGATACGTCGTGCTGTCTTTCTCGTGGAGCAGCACTATGGCAGCCGGCAGAACAGCGACAAGTCTCGAAACAGCATCGCCCCGCGACAGCCAGCGAACATCGAAAATCCCCTGCATCTCCAAGTTCGTGGCGTGAATCACGGTTTGCAGCTCGTGGAACCTCTGGTGGACGACGCAGCTTCCGCCAATGAGGGTCGCGATGGCGCGGATCCCTTGGTCGACGATGTTGAAGGCGGGGATGTTCGTCGCGGCATCCTTGGCTGCGAGAGCCTCTCTGTTAGATGGTGGTGACGAAGTCATGTGCGGCTTGGACGTGTGCCGGTGTGGTAGGCTGCTGTGGTGTGAGTGGTTCCTGTCCGTAACACAGGAATAAAGGAGTTTTCCCTGTGGCCGCATGTGATGCGTTGTTGTAAGCGAACTCTAGGGTCAGTAACCGTGTGTCCCAGTGGCTGACGTCGTCCTTGCAAGCTGTGCGCAGTAACTGTTCAACCACTTGATTGAGTAGCTCTGTCTGTCCGTCAGTCTGTGGGTGGTATGCTGAGGACATCGCAAGTTTGGTCCCCAATAATTCCATGAGCTCCTTCCAGAACTTACTTGTGAATTTGGGGTCTCTGTCTGAGATAAGTGTAGCGGGGATGCCGTGGATGGTGATGATGTGGTCGAAGAAGAGGCGAGCAGTTGCTTCAGCTGTAGCTGTGGCGTTGGTCGGGATGAAGTGACCCATTTTGGAGAACTTATCGATGACTACGAGGATGGAATCATGTCCCCGTGAGGTCGAGGGAAGTCCTGTGATGAAGTCGAGGCTAACGACCTGCCATGGCTGCTCCGGTACGGGTAGAGGCTGAAGTAACCCTGCTTTTTTCTGCTTGCTACTCTTCATCCGCTGACACGTGTCGCAAGAGGTGACGAACTGCTGCACGTCTGCCGCCATCCCGGGCCAGTAGTAATACTTCGCTATTCCCGCTAACGTCTTATTGCACCCGAAGTGTCCCGCGTAAGGTACGTTGTGAAAATCCTCCAATAGGATCTGCCGTAGCGGGGCGTAATTCGGTACCCAAATCTTTCCTGAACCCTTCCTTACAGCTAAGTCTTTGTCCCACTGTAATAGCTTCTTGGTCTGTGCTGTAGCGATCTCTGAGTCCACGGAGTACCCATGTTGGAATAGACCCTTGAGCAGAGGGTTCATTCCGTCCAGCTGGATGCCTGCTAAATGTCCGGGGCGGCTCAATGCGTCTGCCTTGTTGTGTAGCCTGGGCTTGTAGACGATGTCGTAGTGGAAGTGAGTTTCCAAGAAGTCCATCCACCGCACCTGTCGTCGTGAGAGCGTCGGCTGTGACTTCAGGTATTTGAGACTGCAGTGGTCAGTGTAGACTGTGGTCTTGGCTCCCTCTAGATAACACCTCCACGCCTTGAAGGCTACAACTATAGCTAAGGCTTCCTTGTCATGGATGGGGTAGTTCAGTTCTGCTCCGTGTAGCTTTTTACTGAGGTAGGCGATAGGTTGTAAACCGTTCCCGTGATCTTGTATCAGTACTGCTCCGACTGCCTGGTCACTAGCGTCTGCTTCAACTATGTAGTCCTTGTCTGGATCTGGTAGGATGAGTACAAGCGCTGTAGTCAGTGCTGTCTGTAGCTGCTCCATGGCTTGCTGATGAGGTGTATCGCATTTGTAGGGCGTATCCTTTTTTTGTAGGTCGGTCAGTGGTGCTGCTATTTTTAGCGTACTGTGGCACGAACCTGTTGTAGTAGTTGGCGAAGCCTAGGAACTGCTGCAACTCTTTCACGTTCTCCAGTACTTTCCACTTCTTGACGGCTTCGATCTTCCGTGGGTCCACGTGTACGCCCTCGGCACTCACCATGTGCCCGAGAAACTGCACCTTCTTCAGGGCGAAGTCGCTCTTCGATAGTTTCACGTAGAACTTGTTTTTCCACAGGATCTCGAACACCTTCCGTAGATGCTCCACGTGCTCCTTCATGTTCTTGGAGTAGATGAGAATGCCGTCCAGGTACACCACCACGCATTTGTTGTGCCAACACATTACAGTGGCACGGTCATCGCACTCCCATTCGGCCTACAAGCCTGCTCAGCTTCTGGAATTTTGTGGGGAGGTTGTTCAACACGTTTTCTTCAAACCCTCAAAGTTTCAGAGTTTTTCAAGCAGTTACCAAGGCATGACAACATTTTATGTTTCAAGACTTATTGGTAAGGAAGTGTGTGTTACTCCTTTTTGGTAACACCCGAGTTCACCATTTCGGCTGCTGACTCGTCTACCGAGATCTGATTGGTCTGAAATTCGGTCTGGCAGTCCTTTGCCCCGCTGTGCAAGTGGTCACCAAGTTTCAGAACGATCCAACATCTGAGCATTGCGTGACAGCTGCCGAAATTCACTGTTCCGTAGTCATGGTGCACTGTTGGCAGCATTTCCCTTGCCACCCTTTCATTGTTGTCATGCCAATGGTGCAGGGACAGAGAATGAGACAAGAAGTACAGGTGGTCAAGTGGGACTCTATAACCCTCCTTTTG